ATCATCCTCGTGGGCACAAAGCTGGATCTCCGTGATGACAAGGATACCATTGAGAAGCTGAAAGAGAAGAAGCTGTCCCCCATAACATATCCTCAGGGTCTTGCACTGGCCAAGGAAATAGGTATGAGTTTGGGGAGTCATTTTGGACCTACTGAAAGAAGAGAGGCGAAAGATAAGGGCTTCCTTTCAGTCTAATGAGGTTTTCATAGAGATATCTCACAGTGGTGTCTCCAAGGGRCACAAGGATACAAGGTCATGGGACAAAATGCAGTTCAGGAGACTCAGGAAGGACCTCTGCTCCTTGAGGAAGATTCAGCCCCTCAGGCCTCTGTTTTCTGTCTCTCTCTGACCACCATCCTCCACACACATACAACTACATGCTTTCACCTTCCACTCCCCTTTCACTCTGCTACTTCTATCTGGGGCATTTTTTTTTCTGTGAAAGCCACAGCTACACTGTGGGCAGAGGCCACTCCTCCATATCCGGAGAGRGGCAGAAGAGAGGTTTTGAACCTATCCCAGGAAGAGTTGCAACAGCAGTTTCCTGTYCCTTCCTCTGTCTGCTGGGGCTTCTACTTGCAATCCCAGGTATGAGTGTCTCACCCCACCATTCAGCTCTTCTCAGATGTGGCACACAGAAGCAGGAGAGAGGGTGAGAAATAGAGCTTGAGGGAGTTTTGCAGGACTTCAGCAGAGGGAGTGTCTGGCCAGGATGACAGTCAGCCACACACAATGACTCTGCTCTGGCTACAAGGGTAGMCAATGGGCAAACATTGGTCTCGTACATCTGGCAAGTGAGGCCCTGAGGTCACAACTGAGTGAGTGAAATGCATCCTGACAATGTGTAATGTCTTTGATCACCTGAYATGTGTTTGTTCAGCTCGGACAAGAGCCAGATGCCTTGCTTTTTAGCACAAGGAGCAGAAACCGGGCATCCCCACTGCCTAGCCCAACTCCCTTCCTCCCCATTGCAACATCTGCTTTCCTCCCAACAGACTCTGTGAAATACCTCGAGTGCTCAGCTTTGACACAGCGTGGCCTCAAAACCGTGTTTGACGAGGCCATCCGAGCAGTCCTGTGCCCACAGCCCACCCGGACAAAGAAACGGGTCTGCAGCCTCCTCTAAGCAAGTAAGTGTGACAGGAATCCTGGGAGTGACAGCAGTGGTGCTTTCCTGCTCCTGAGCCCAGATGGTCAGGGCCACTGTGTCCCTGGTGAGCCTGTTGGAATAGCTCACCTTCAAAGGGAGAGAGGGAGACAGCAGGTCCTGCCTGGGGGAAGGACAGGACATGTTATGATGCACTCAGGAACAACTTCCCCTTCCTTTCTGCTTGACTGTGGGCAAGTTTGTTCCCGTCTCTTGACATGGGGTAGCCTAGGATTTTCCACCTAAGCCCTGAAGACTGTCAGCTTCTGCCTCAGAGGGAACTACATCCAGGCTGCCCTGGGGGTGACCTGCTCTGAGGGCTATGAAGCCATAGCCTTTGCCTATAGGAAAAAAAAAAAAAGGGAAAAGAAAAAGCTGTTCCTTATTCATGGCAACTGCCCAGTGGCCCTTCCTCTTACCTCAGGGGTTTTCTTGTGCTGTTCATTGGCAAGCAGCAGCTTATCCTCTAGGACTCCTTTATTCTTCTTATTGTCCCTACCTGCCTCCACTTCAGTACAAGGCAGCAGAGGGAAGAGTGAGGCTTCAGGACAAGAGGCAAAGCTGGTCAGATCCTGATGATCCAGAGACAAGAGTGAGAGCTTGCTAGTTTACACCCTGTCCCTTCGCACACCCACCRTCACCAGGGCAGAGGGAGGGAGAGCAGGAAAATGGTTGAGCTGGTATTCTGAGGTCTGTCATGTTTTTGGCTATAGATCCCAAGCTCGTCCTGATGCCAGGTGCTGCCCAGCACACAGGAGAGTGATGGCTCCAGCCACCCAGAGCTCAGCACCTTGAGGCGGTCATTGCTTTTTACTTCTGCCGGCTTGAAAGACTGCTGTGGGTCTGCAGCACCGGTTTGTGTGTTTGCACAACGTCCCCGCATCCGTCTCACCCCCTGCCCCTTCCCTTCCTCCCGGGCCCCTACGGTGTAGTGAATGAGAGCCAATAAACAGACTGTACATACTCCTCATGTCCGTGATTGTTGCACCTCAGGGGGACACAGCCCTGAAGCCACGAGCAATGGGATGGCTGGGCTGGAGTCACCCCCAGCTGCGTCCCTCCCTCAGCACTGACAGCCCAGGCAGCACCACACGGAGCTTGGTGAGCCCCAGCTGCTGCAGGGTGATGAGACCAGGCCTGATTCATCCTCCAGGTTGCTGAGTTCTCAGCTGAGCCCCCTGCATTCCTTTTGCCTTCCCTCTTCTCACTCTCCACGTGTCCAAAGGAAAAGTTGTCTCCCCTCCGTGCCACATGGAGGATGGGATGCAGGCTTTGGGACGGGACACCTGGACCCACACTCCTCTCTGTGGGGACTGCCCCTGCAGGTTGCTGGGGACATCCTTTCACCAAAATATTGCTGCATTAATCCTCCTAAGCTCTGGCACTTGCTCACACTGCCAGGCACAAGCAGAGAATTGGAGCCAGGCACGGAGTAAGAATCGGAAAGGGGAGGGCAGGAAAAAAATTAAAGAGGGAGGAATGAGTCACCAGTCCAGACAAATTGCTTCCAAGATACTAAAATTAAGCTGAAGAGAGTGGTCCCGGCGGTGCTATGGATCTGGCAGCTGTGAGCACCTGCTTTCCTGATGCATTGCAGGGACTTAAGCGCAAGTGTTACAGGGTGGCTGCTACTGCCACTACTTGCAGGAGGAAGGAAGGCTCAGGGTGTGATGATTGGCACTGCAAAATCCTGCAGTCCTAGAAGGGCACAGTGAAACCATGGAGCTGAGCCAGATTACTGTTCCTGGATGCAGCAATGTTTCTGAGATTCAAAGGCTGCTTCCTGCATTGAGGACGTGCATTGGTAATGCTGGRTAGCCATAGTGAAGCCTCCAAGGTACCCTGCTGCCAGGGAAATTCCTGCAATTTCAATTCATGTTCAGCTCTGAATAAGGCAGTTCAGTCAGTGATGTGACACATTACCCACTGATAAAGTTCAGAGCAACCCTGGAGGTGTCCTGTGGCAGGGAGTTCCACAAATATCTGCACTGCACATGGGCTGCCGGATGAATTGCCCAGGCCCCATCAAAAGGTAATGTAAATTATGGCAACWTAAGTCCAGAAGAGCAAAAATGAAATCTGTGGTATGGGAATATACATATGAAAAGGCAAGGAACACAAAGTACTTGAAAATGGGCTCTAACCTCCTTTAAACATCCTAAGCATGACTCAAACTAATACATATCCAATGGTTTATTACTCCTCTCCAGTTTTCAAACCTTGGCTTTTACCTTTTCCATCTGCCTCATGCCCTGTCACATGCAGCAATGCCTACCACGTGTGTAAAACAAAATTCATGTATCTGCCTACTTGTGGGGTGCACAGGCTGCGCTCTCCTCCCAACACAATTTAAACAGTTTGCACAGCCCCATTGGAGCTGAGGCAGAGAGCGGGGCAGAACTCAGAGCATTGAGGAAGTGATCTGGAGACCTGGGATTTGTGATCCTATGACTGTGTTTATGCTAATAAGTCCTGCAGGGGTTAGCAGGCCTGGGTAGAGCTCTGCTGTTGCATGGCCCTGTTCCCTCTAAGCTCAGGAGCTTCTGCATGGTGCTACTGATACATACCCTGCCATGGTGAAGAAAACCTCTGGCTGCTGCCTGTGCCATTCCTTCCCCAGTGAGGCCTCCTCTCTCTTGTGTGTCTCCAGACTGCATTGTGGCCAAGTTCTGGCCTGAAGAGACCTGACAGCCTTGAAGTCCTGTATCGCTTTCATCAGCTCCCCTTTGAGCAGCACTGGCTGCACACAAACTTGCTCAAGTAGGTTTGGAACTATGTATTTTAGGCATTGACTATGTTCTAGTCAAAGAGGTGTTGCCTTCTTTTGTTAAAGCTGGGACTGGCCCTAGGGGCTGAAATGCTCACAATTGCAGTGCCAAATGTCAAGAACTGGGTGATGCACAGCACCAAGAGGCACTGGTGTTGGCTGCAGGGCAGAAAAGGGGATGAGGATGACAGGGAAGCCCTTTATGCAGGGAATGGGATGGGAAAATCCTCATGTCCTTCATGAGAGAACTGCTCACACAAAGGAGATAAATATCTTTCTTAGACCCATTTCTTCTGGTCTATGCCWTCCAGCAGAGATTGAATCTGGTAGGAGGGTTTGGGGCTGTTAAACTGGGACATTTCCCCAATGAAGGTGCAAAAGACAAGGGATCATGTACGGAGCCAGGGAAGGGAAAAAGTTGAAACAGACAGTCCCCTGTCTGCCAATCTCCCCRATCTTCATCCATCTGGAGGGGCTCATAGTGCAGAATAGAAGGGAGAAGGGTTTGTGTGCTCAACATCCACACCCGTTTCTGAGTGCCTTGCCAGCCAGAAGGCTTTGCTGTGTCCCTGCAGTTGTGAGCAGCACTGGTCCCGCCTGCAGGACCCTCGGAACAGGGGGTCCATCTCCTGGGAACCAGCCTAGGGGAGCCGAGCCGAGTCGCCCCCTCCTGAACGCCACTCTCCCACCACACAGCTGCACTCTGCAYCCCTCTTGTCTTCCTCTCCTTATTCCTTCCACTGTGTTCAGCTTCTTTCACCGCACTCCTCATTCCTTCATCTTCCCCTCTTCTGCTCTCCCCCTGTCCCTCTCCTCCCTCCCCCGCTTTTATTCTCCATCCCGATATCTCCCCCCGCTCTCTCTTCTTCGTTCTCCTGCCCTGTCGTCCATCCCCTCCTTCTCCTCCTTCTCCTGCCGGTGTTTCCGTGCGTGGCGCCCATTGGCTGCCGRCACCCGTCCCCCGGTACCGGCGCTCCGCTCCCTCTGCCCGAGCCCCGCCGATGGTGGGGGCTGAGTGGGGGAGAGACCCACGGCCGTGGGGCTGAGGGGCCGCGCATTCCCCCGCCCGCCCCCGGGCCCCCTCCCACGCCAGGCTGGGCGGGGGCGATGGGCAAGTCCGGGAAAAAAGACTCGTGCCTCCGGTAGCGCTCGGTGGGGCTCGCTCTCTCCGTGAGCGCTTGGCTCTGTCGCGTTTAAGGAAAGGGGAAAGCATGATACGGATTCTCCCGGTGAAGCGGAGGGAAATGCGCATCCCAACGACATGTAAGTACCCGGCGGCTCTGCCCGCTCYCCCCACATGTCTCCCGCGGGCATGAGTCCATGCAGAAGTTAAGTCTGCAGTTCCAGAGAAGAAAACCTGCCGACCCTCCGCCGCTCCCGACCCTCCAACTCTGCCAGTCCAGCCAGGTCCCTACGAGAGAGCTCAGCCCCGAGGTGAGACAGGAGAGTCCGGAGCTGGAGCAGGCCCGTRGGAAACAAGGGGGACAGGAGGGGAGGGCGTCAAGAGGGGCTGTAGGTTATTGGACTCTGTTGTCCCTGCCAGCTTCTATTCATGGTTTGTTACAAGGTCTGGGCTCAGCTTTCAGCATCCACCTCCTCCTCTCATTCAATGCAGAAATATGTTTATTTATTTATTTATTGGTTTTTTTGTTTTTTTTTTCCTTAAAGAAAGCAGTAATACCAATTCCCCATCACTTTGTACCTCTCTGCCTTTTTCCTGCTCTCCAGCTGCATGAACCAGGCACATTCTGGTAGCATTTGTTAGAGGATCCCAAGCCTCTTGCAACAGGTGCTGTCCACATCAGGACAGATCCAAGCAGATGCCAACACACTATCAATCTGAGGCCAGGGTTCCTCACCAATTCCTACCTATGCTTGTGCTGCCAAAGCARCCAGCAGAGTGGATCCAAACTTAGATGAAGCACTGGTGTCCTGTGGTTTTTCTGTCAAACTAGCTAAAATGTGTGACATGGTGTTTGAGTTGGTACATGGTGTCTGACAAAGTTAGAATTGGAGCAACAGACCATGTCTGCTTAAAGATCCAGTTTCTCCCCTGCAGCTGCATGAGCAGGAAAATGAGTTTATAGGAAATCCATGCTTTTTGTTGCATGCCTTAGCATTTTGATAGGGCTTCTGAAGCCCTGAAGCTGGATTTACTGTATCAGTAAACCACAGCCTGAACAACTGTGTCCAGCTTTGGGGTCTGGACCCCAGACACTCCTCCAAATACTTTACAGCCCCAGCAGGAGCATCTCCATCCATATTTGATATTTGTAAGGCTGCAAACATTTGGCCTTTTTTTTCTTTAAATTCCTTTGCATGCAGAAGGAACATCCAAAGGGCTTCTTGTCTGTATGTTCACCTTTTAGAGGATCATCCTTTTATGAACATACTGTTCTGGCCTCTGCCACTGTTTGCGGGGTTCTTTGTCCCTAGAGCAGGCATTGCCCTATTCTTTTCTCCAACAAGTGATTTGTGTCACTAGAACAGMATTGGAAAAAATACCAGAGGAAAAATCCTTGAACTTAGAGTTGCAAATCACTTCCTAGTCTGTCTATTCATTGCAGCCACTCATAACATGTGGGACAACCCAGTGCTGAGGATCCCAAGAGATGGGCTTCTCTTAGGACAGTGTGTCACAGCCCAAGGCACCTGAAAATTAAGAAAATCTAAACAATCCCAGTCCTTCAAAGCTCAAATGCTTTAAAGCAGGAAATATTTATACAATAACCTGTAAAAATGGCCTTAAAACATAGTTGCTCAACTGTGCATTTATGGGGCCTATCAGATGAGGTTGCTTTAGCACAAAAGTTGTGAAGCCTGTTGAGTTTGCCTGTCTGATATCCAAGGAATCCATCTAAAGCTCAGGTTTTCCCTAGGGTTTCCAAAACTTGGAATGCCATCTACAAAACAAACAAACAAACAAACAAACAAACAAAAAACAACCAAGCAAAAAAAAAACAAAAAAACCCAAACAATGTAATATTAGACATTTGTGCCATAAGTTGTGATGTTACAGAGAATCATATCTGGGAGAAAAGTCTCTGGAATGTTTCCAGCCTCCTGAAAGTGGTTAAGATTGGGAGTCGTTTCCTTTGGCATCAGCAGTTTTAATTTCAATAGAAAAGGAGCTTCAGAGCTCTAAGAGTTTTGTTCAGATGTGTAACGGTGAGTCTCTGGGTCCCCATTCACTTCCACCAAGTCATCCCCCCTTCCAAGGAGCTCATTCATCAGGAGGATGGCCCTGTCAGTCCCCACTTCCAGAAAATTTTTCTAGAGCTGGAGTAATCCTGAAAGAAACAAAAATCCCCCCTGTATTAGGTTTTCCAGGGTGTCTCTGGTCCATAGTATGTGCTGGGCTCTGCGTTTCACATATGGAGCCCTGGCAAAAGGCACAYCTGTCCCTCAACTGTGTCTTCCCTTCCTGCAGCTCCTCACCCAGTGTCAGCAGCGAGCTAGTGGCAAATAGAGAGCTTGTTTGCTCAAGGCTCTCCCTGAGTGAGACGAGTGCTGTTTCCATGCCAAACCTTGACGTGACAGGCAGTTGGGCACCTCAGATTAGGAAGGCTGCGACACTGCTTTGGTGTTGCAAACAGGTGGGGCAGGCAGAGCCTCTGCCATTAGCAGTGTGTTGCAGGGTGCAGAAGGAGAGAGAAAGAATGGCAAGGAGAACAAGAGAAAAACAGACAAGAGGGATCTGGACTGATCCCTGTTGGTGTAACCAATATAATCTTTCTTTACTTTCAAACTGGCATAACAAACCAACTGCCTCCCATCAGCCTCTCTGCTTGGATTCAGAGTGAAAGCGCTTTTCCTTCTGCTGTTGGGCTAACAATAACCTGGCCAGTCCAAAAAGATCTTCAGCAAGCAGGAGAATAAATACTCAGAGAATAGGAAAGTCAGAGCTGGAAAGGCACTTTGTCACTGGATGCTTTTCCCTCTTTTGTTTGTAAGGCACCTGCCACTCATAAATGAGAACCAGGCCCCTGGTGACCATGTACTCATATTGGATCCATTAGCAGAAAATGAAAAATTTCCTTGTCCTTATCCTAGTCTGCTGTTCTCTCCCCAGAGGATCATTCCCTACGGGAGAGGCCCACACTGAGCCATGTGGCCTTTTGTCCCTCCATGTCGCTGTTGGCCAGACAGCCGACACAAATTAACAGACACAAAGACACATATATACACACAAAAAAAGTAACCCCTTTATTCTGGGACAGGCCTCTTTTATCCACTTTAGCAACTAGTGCATATATTTGTGTCAAACATACATTGGTTAGTGAGGCTGTCACTTTCTACTCAACAGCATAGGATTGGTAGGTTTGCAAAAGCTACAGTATTAGTAATGTTTATAATTGTAAGCCACCTGCATTATCAATTCTACATTCCAATCTCTTTTCTCAAGACAGCCAAGGACATGGCGTTTTCCTCCCATGCAAGCTGTTAACACTCCCTACACCTCCATGCCCACTGTTCCTTGCAGGACTAGATGGGCTTGATATTCTCCTGTATTTTCCAGTGGCTGCTAGCATYTGCAAGCTCACCTGAATTTCCCATGCCTGTCCATGCCTAACACAAAGTTAATGTGGTGATTTTAGTTGTGGCTTGTTCAGCTGTCATGTCCCCAGTATCAATGGTTTCTTTTCCTCCTCCTCTCACCTCCAGATTGCTAACTGATCCTGCAAGGACACTGCCCCCTGCCCTCTTCTCCGCCTCTGCTATGGACACTTCTGCTTTTAGCCTCCCCACGCCGGCAGTGTCRGAGGAGGGGAATGCCTCAGGTAGCTGGGCAGGCTTCACCACCCCCAACAGCTCCTCCACCATCAGCCCTGGTGTAGTTGTCAGCGGTGTCCTCATCCCCGTGGTCTACCTCATTGTCTGCGTGGTGGGGCTGGCTGGGAATTCCCTGGTCATTTATGTGGTCCTGCGGCACTCCGTGAGCGAGTCGGTGACCAACGTCTACATTTTGAACCTGGCCCTGGCCGATGAGCTCTTCATGCTGGGCCTGCCATTCCTGGCTGCGCAAAATGCCCTGTCCTACTGGCCATTTGGCTCTTTCATGTGCCGCCTGGTGATGGCCGTGGATGCCATCAACCAGTTCACCAGCATCTTCTGCCTGACGGTGATGAGCGTTGACCGCTACCTGGCCGTGGTCCACCCAGGGAAGTCCTCCAAATGGAGGACAGCACGGGTGGCCAAGGCAGTGAGTGCAACYGTGTGGGTGCTGTCTTCCATAGTGGTGCTGCCCGTGGTTGTCTTCTCAGATGTCCCTTTAGGGATGAGTACCTGTCACATCCAGTGGCCGGAGCCTGCCTCGGTGTGGAGAGCTGGCTTCATCGTCTACACTGCTACGCTGGGCTTCTTTGGACCGCTGCTGGTGATTTGTCTCTGCTACCTGCTGATTGTTGTGAAGGTTCGCTCCTCTGGCAGGCGGGTGAGGGCTCTGTCCTCCAAGCACAAACTTTCAGAGCGCAGAGTGACCCGCATGGTGGTGACTGTGGTGGCTGTCTTCGTCCTTTGCTGGCTCCCCTTCTATGTCCTCAACATAATCAATGTTGTGTGCCCACTGCCAGAGGAGCCATCCCTCTTTGGTGTCTACTTCCTCGTGGTGGTGCTGCCCTATGCCAACAGCTGTGCCAATCCCATCATCTACGGCTTCCTCTCCTACCGCTTCAAGCAGGGCTTCCGCAGGGCCATCTTCAGGCCGTCCCGCCGAGTCCAGAGCCAGGAGGTGCCAGCATGCCCCCCCGAGAAGGTTGATGACGAAAGGGAAGAGGGTGAGATCAGCAAGATCACCCAGAATGGAAATGACAGGCAGGAGCACCCTCTAAGCAGCGGAGAAGGAAAAAGCAATGAGCAAAAACCACTCCCTGAGGAGCCCTTGGGATGTGAAAAGAGCAACAAGTTGCATGTCAGCTATTTATGATGGAAGGGGTGGTGCAGGGGAAAGAGACATTGGGACATGGGATCCCCTTCACCTTCTCTGCTTTCAAAGGCAACAGGAGACATCAATACAAGTAGACATTAAAGTCCAAGAGTCTGCTTGAAGATTAATAGGGCCCCACAAAATAAAGCAAGGCATTATTTTTGGCTTTAGAAGAGACACCTGAGGTTTGTRTGGTACCATTATTATCAGAAATTGGTAAAAATAAAACCTCCTTAACACTAATGTAGTGTTAAGAAGCAGGCATTCTTTATTTGGCTGGATGCATGAGGGGATACCTCCTCCAAAATATCATGCATGCTGAGTGAAGAAAAAGCTCCCATTTATACACTATATTTACATAACTGCTCATTGATTTGCCTGGAATAAACATACATATGATAAGCATTTCCCCGAAATCATTAACATATTTTCCCTCCCCTTTACATGTGTTCTTCTGTTCTGGGAGTGTCTGGTGGTTTCTGGTGGTTGGTGACTCCAAAGTCATACCTAACTGGTTGGTGACCTAGTAAAAGTTGGCCCAGCTGAGCTGGTTGCTTTCCAGTTCTTCTTCCTACAGAATAAACATCATGCAGTTCCACAGGCCAATGGCTTTTGGAGAATAAGCATTGTGTGAACCCAACAGGTGCAAACCATTTTTCATCTGGCAACACCAGGTAAAGAGCAGATGGCATTCATGGAGAGCTGAAGAGGTGATGGGCACTCACAGCATAGAGAGAGCAAGGTCAGCCCTAGACTGATGATGTGCCCTTAGGTGACCCAGCTTTGCAGGGCATTGGCTGCCATCTGACAGTGGCACCTCAAGGAAGTCCCCAAATGGCATATACCACATAGGCAACCCAGTGCCTTGAATGTCCTTTTTATAAACATGAGAAGTGGTTTACCTTAAAAGACGAACAGGAAGGAGAAATGTCTGCAGCAAAGACACACTAACCAATTGCATGCATGGCTGGCCCCTCTCTAGTTCTTCAAAAAGTCTGCAGGACCATGATGGTCACGGCTGGAGACCACTGACTACTCAAAACCACCTCTTCCTTTTCAGGACTCTTATGGACTCTGGGCAGGATGACAAGATTTACCTGGGAGAAAAAAAAATGGAAATTTTCTTTCCGGCACCTCACATTCTTCAGGGTTTTCCTGGTACCACTGCACCCTGGTGGGAGGTGTAACAAGGGTAGAGAAGAAGAAAATGAGACAGGAGTTAGAGTCAGCATTTCTTTTCCTCACCTTAAGCTTTAGTGTAAACAAACAAAAAGCCTTTGGACTTACAAGGCCAACTGGGCAAAGCCATTCTGTGTGTTTAGGGGAGGGGGTGCTATAGATTTGCCCTTTCCTCTCAATGTCTTTGAGCTGAGTCAATCTCTGTCTGGAGTCMGATGTGGCTGATACAGGACATCAAGGCATCTGTCAGTACAGGATGGAGGCAGGAAGCAGCAGAGGTCAGGGGATCTCCGGGGTATAAGAGCTGTGCTTGTAWAGAGTCTGGGCAATACTAGGAACTCATTTATCTCATGGGAAGTGGTAGAGTGTTTGGCTCAGGATGACGAAGAAATGATGTTGTCCACAAATGCACAAAGGCTTGTGGCTACAGGTTGTAGGCAAAACTTTTTTCCCTGGATTGTACATTTATGGGAATGGCTGAAGAGGATGGGACACTGAGGAGTCAGGGCTGCTGGGAGACTGATGCCAGTCTTGGGCACCGATGCTGATCTGCTGGGGTGTGTGCAGGGGTACTCCAGGGGGTGTGCATGTGTGTAAGTGTATACAAACGCAGATGAGGGAGTGTGTTTATATAATTGCAGGATGTTTACGTGTAGATGTGAATGCTTGGATAAGGGYTGGAGAGCAAGTGTGCTGCTGTGGAGTTGGTGAGTACTTGCTCCTGTGCACTGGTTGCTGGAGGGACCTTGTGGGCRGGCCCGTCTGAGTGTGCAAGCAAGAGAACAGCACTGTACAAGGGTGGGTGAGATCAAGGTCTCCCTCTCCGCCTTGGCRTCATTCCTGCAGCTCTGCTAAAATGTCAGTCCCCACACCTTTAACTTCTCCATGAATGCTACTGCTAAGCTACAGCCACTGAAATGACCCTCATACCACAGCCCTTTTGGGCACTTTCCTCCACAAACAATTCTGAGAAATGGGAAGGAGGGACCCATCTCCTGAGGTCAGGAGATGTTGCAGGAGACAGTCTGTGGAGGATCAATCATGAGAGCTGGCTGGGTAATGCAAAGGTGTCTCACAGGTCCCTTGAGAGAAGGCAAGAGAAGGGAAGGGGTGGCGTGGGGTCAGGTGTGCTGGGACAGAAGCCAAAAGCCCTGGGCTGGGAAGCAGAACAAGCTGCAGCAGCCGAGGATGGTGAGAACAAAACCACTATGAGGCAGCAAGAGTCCAAGGTCACACAAAGGCCAGTGTGAAGTGAAGGCCTGGCAGGCACCAGAACTGCAGTGCAGGGCACCTGAGTTTGGAAAAGGACTGTCACAGGGTGTGGAAGAGACATTTCCTAGCCAGGTTAGAGAGCTAAGGATGGGTGTGCAGGGACTGCAGATGCCACCAAACACAAGACATTCAGCTGTGCTCTCAGCCACTGCTACTGCCATCACCTCCAAGACAAAGACTGCCCCCAGGAATCCTACATCCTCATGTTTCCTCTTTGAGCCTGGGGCACTGGTGCCAAGCTATCCATGCCTGCAGGCTCATCCTTGGGAGTTGAGCTTCCTGCCATACCACCCAGAAACTGCTTAGCTCCCCTTGCAATGCTTTCTGAGCATGGCAGTCAAACACCCAGGAGCGCAGGCTCAGCTCACAGGGAAAAGTGCTTGGTAGCCAGTTGCTGTCCTCTGCTATCTCTTTACATCTCTTTCTCCTTCAATCTATGCAGCAGTTTCCCACACTGTGGGCCCCAGTCAGAAAAGCAGCCAAACTATTCATGGGCGTGGGATACAGTGTGTTGGACTAAAAAAAGCCTCTGTTTTAGTTTCTTGGGGAGCTCTCGCAATGTCCATTGGATGAAGCATTCCCGGCAGAATGAAGATGGATTGCCAAAACTTCGGCCTCTATAAGGGGCAACAAGTRGTGGAAAGATTTAAAGGTCTGACTGGCAAATGGTCAGATGGATGGACAACACAGCACTTTAAACTGAGGTCTGTGTTGCTCCTCTTGCAGAGRAGAGCAGAGCCAGGTGAGTCCTGGWCTCCCCTGGCAGAGCAATCCCTGTAGGACAGAGGAGAAACTGTATTATTTGAGGAACTTGTACCACTGTCCATGGTTCATGACCAGGCACTGAAGAAGGCATGTGACAGTGACCAAGGACCTTGCAGGAAGCAGCTCAGTTGGGTGGGGGGACAGATATAGGATGGGTTTCCTTRTCCACGGAGTGGCTGCTCAGCTGCCATGAAGAGATGGGGGAAGTTCCCCAGCTGCCAACACACTTAACAGAGACAGTCTCCATCACCACCAAATCGAGAGACTTCATTTCACACGCCTTTGCAGCTCCATCTGCTGCAAATCACCATTCAAGAAACTTCATCGACTGGTTGGCTTCCTAAAATACCAACACATCCCTTAAGAGCCTGAGCGCTGCAATGCTAGCACCAAGCAAGCGTGCCAAGGAGACATCATTTTGACACATGGAATCTGAGCTCCCACCAAGGCAGCTCTGCAAGGCAGCCTGAAGAGCTGAGGCAAATAAAATGAGTTCCAGGGAGGTCTGCAAAGAAATGGAGGTCTTTAGATGCAATAGGAGTTCAAAAGAAAGGAGACATGCATCATATTTTTGTGTCTTGTGTTTTCTTCACACACCCCCCCCCAATGCTGCATACAATTTTGCAGTGACAAATTGGGGAAATAAAAAGTGAAGATGAACAGAAAATAAGACTGGGGCAAGGAAAAGAAAAGGTATTTCTTGTCCAACATTCATGAGGAGAAAACAAATGCCACAAAATTCTTCGAACTATCACCACTGATTTCAAAGCTGTTTTTCATAGGAACAGGTATTTAGAATGATGGTCAGGAGGTCACTGCCGTCTGACTGCTGCTCTTTCCTCAGCACTGTCTCCGTGTTGGTGAACCCCCAGTGTTTTCTGTGGTAATAGCAACAATCTGACTGCCCTTGTGATCCTCTTTCCTTTCCTAAACAATGGTGTGGTTGACTCTGGGCTGCCCAGGGGCCATGGGGACTGTGTGCAGTGGCTAAGTGAAAGTCTGAACATGTTTGGGGGATTTGCTCCAATCGGGTATGGAAAAGAGTTTTTCTACTCTGGGTGCAGAGACACAGAGATAAGGGCTCTATCAAGCCCTGTGCTGCACAGAAGGTTTCATTCTCGTCACGTAGTGATCAGAGCTGCAGGACTGGAAAGGCCCGCAATGATCTCAGCAGCATTGTGCAATCCTCTTCTCAGCAAACGTGTAATTACAGATGGGGTGATAGAAACACAGGGAACTCACTCTGTCAGAGCGTTCATGTGCACACGAGCAGRTAGAGCCATTTGTATGTGCTGTGTATGCATACATGCAAATGAGTGTTTATTGCATGACTGCATTCATGTGTGCATGTGTATGCACATGCAACTGCATGGATATGTATGAACACAAATACATATTCATGCCATGCACAGATTCAGGCACATCTAAGTGTGCATGAGACCACACACGGGCAGATGTACACATACCCTGACACACACACGCACCCTGATGTGCACCTCCCCCTTGGCCTAAGCGTGAACACCAAGGACTCAGCACATTCCCTTTAATGCACACAGCCCAGGCACGGGCTCAGACTGTGAGGTGACATCTGGACCTTGCCAATGACCCTCCACACACATGTACCCTCCCATCAAACCCAGCCACGCAATGGTGGTGTGGAGCAGCTGTGGACCTGCTCAATGTGATCATTCTGCTCTGCAATGGATCTGCCGGAGAAAATCTGCAAGGGCGGTGAATGGTGATGGCAGAGGGGCTCTAGTGTGGAGAACCGAGGGTGTGTTTCCAGGCTGTTAGCAGCACAGCCCACACATAATGTCATTTGAAGCTGTTTTTAGGGAGCTGCTGTATTTGTCATCAGCAGGGAATCACAGCAGCTCGGATAAGGGAACAGCAAAACTGTGCAGGCYATGTTCTGCCTCAGCTGTTGTACAGGGCGGTGGAACAAGGGGTTGTGTGGAGGGGGCAGGAAGCATTGTTGTAATAGGGTAGCCTGTAGAGAAGAAACAGGGGAATATAAAARAAGGGAAACACCTTTAAAAAGAAGATGCTCCTAGCTCTCCTGAAGATCCKACAGAGAATTGAAATGCTTTATCTGCTCGAACGAGTGGAAAATATGCAAATATTTGCTCATGAAAAATTGCTGTTCTTTGCCTTCCCAAGCATAAAATATGCAAACGCCACACACAACGCAGCCGGCTCACGCAGATCTCACACTCGCCGCGTCATGCACAAACAGACACACGCGCATTCTCAGTACGTCAATGCAGCCGGGCAAGGACACGTGCCTGGGCTGCAACACAGCAGCCTTCCTTCCCTACATGACAAACAGGGCCGCGGGGCACGGCAATACGGATGCCTTGGCTGGCAAACCGTGCCTGGGCCGGCAGTGCCCCGCCGCGGAGCCCTGCGGTGCTCTGGAGCCGGAGCGGCTGCGGGACTGCGGGCGGGAGGAATGCGAGGGCCCGTCCCCCCCGGCTCTCAGCACGCAGGACACCCCCAGGACACGCAGCGGGGCGGGGGTGGCACCGAGCTGCGCGGGGGACGCGGAGGATGCGGCGCTGCTCGGCGCGTCCTGCAGAGGGGGATCGGGCTCCGGCCGGCGGCAGCGGCGCCGCCGAGGGCCGGGAAACGCGGCGGGACTCCTGCCCTTCGCACCGGGTGAGGAGCAGGGGCGGTGCAACCTCTCCGTGCCAAACCCCCGCGTGTCAGACATCCAGAGGGACCTGCGCAGCCATGAGAGATGTGCACTCGCAGCACAGAAAGCCAGTTGTATTCTGGGCTGCATCAAATGAAACGTGGCTACAAGGTCCGGAGGGGTGGTCCAGCCCCTCTGCTCCTCTSTGGTGGGACCCCATCCGGAGTGCTGTGTCCAGGTCTGGGAACCCCAGCATATGAAGTGCCGGACCTGTAGGAGCGGGTCTAAGAGGACAGTGATAGAGAGCTGGAGCATCTGTCCTATGAAGAGAAGCTGAGAGAATCAGGGTTGTTAGCCTGGAGAAGGCTCTGGAGATCTTACTGTCCCTTCCAGTACCTAATGGGATCCTGCAGGAAAGCTGAAGARGGACTTTCACAAGCACATRTAGTGATAGGACCAGGGGGAATGGCTTTAAAATGAAGGAGGGCAGGGTTAGATTAGATTTTAGGAAGAAATTGTTCACTGGGGGGGTGGTGAGGCCCTGGCACAAGTTGCCCAGAGAGGCTATGGCTGCCCCATCCCTGGAGGGATTGAAGGCCAAGCTAGATGGAGGTCTGAACAACCTGATCTATGGTACATGTCCCTGCCTATGGCAGGGGACTTGGAATTAGGAGATCTTAAAAGTCCCTTCCAACCCAAACCACCCTGTGATTGTATAACTCTGTCATGACTGTCTGGTTCCCTTAGTGGAAAGCAGCCTTCACAGATCCAAGAATTTGAGAGCTCTTGAACACCAGTTTCCTTCCCCATCCACCTGCGCATTCATGCCCCACCACCCCATCCCCCTTCCACAAACTTTTTTTTCTCTGGTGAGAAAGCTCATGAGTATCTCTGAAGAAAGTTTTCTCACCCAAACCACTGTGCGCATTTCTCAGTACTCCTTGTGAGATCTGATATGCCCCGAGCAGTAATCTACTCTTTATAAGTGATATGGGCAGTTCTAGGAATGTGTGTAGGAGAGGACAGCACAGGAGTGAAAATTTCTGGGTCTACACAGGAGTGGATGGGAGGAGGGGGCCTTCAGATACAGAGAAACAGAAGGCAGCGGACTTGTTTGAAGGTTATTTTTAATGACTGGTTCAAACAGTGTCACCTGGCATGTCCCACCCAGCCAAGATGCTCTACCTACAGTTCGCAAGGCAGCAAACTCTTGTTGCAGTTAGGACAGTCCTTGTATCATATGCCAGTGTTTGGGGTGCATCCCAGTGCAGTTCCCTGTCTCAGTGGTCTCACAGGCGGGGGTGAGAGGTGGGACACTCAAGCTGGAAAAGCTGCTGCTGGACAGAGGGGCAGCCTGGCTGATGTTCCTGTAGCTGTGAGGCATTTCCAGTTGATGCAGCTTGTGAGCCAGATACGCTGCTCAGCTGTGTCAAACGTGGTGTCGTGGACTGGCTGTAGGGCACTGGGAAGTGGGAGACAAGCTCACGYTTCCATGCTCTGTATCGGGCAACTGCCAGCTCTAGCAACAGCTTTGCTCAAGCAATGAGTGAAGGTGAATGGCTCTTCCAGCTGCTCCTCAGCCACGTGGCATTTCAGCAATGCACAGAAAAAAATGAAAAAGAGTCTTTGCCAGGCCTTGATCTCTGTGTGAGACAGGCCAGGCCGCCAAGCAGCACACAGCAGAAATCCCTGCTGGCAGAAGTGCCTTCAAACTCAGCAGCAGCCTGCATAGAGCCAGGGAATGTGTCATTGCTGCATGRTCCAGGCCCCACATGGGCAGAAGTCTCAGGAGAAATGTAGCCATGCAGCTGACATCCAATAGGCCTTCCCATCCTTAGAGATATGGAAAGTATTCTAAGCCAGTAATTTTGTACCRTTTTGGTGCTCTTGAGTAACAAGGGCTGGCTGTTACACAAGCCCCATGCACAGACATGGAGTCCACAGGCTGGAAAAGATTCATCTAATCAGAGAATCACAGAATAGTTCGGGTTTGAAGGGACCTTTAAAGGTCATCTATTCTTCCCAACCTCCTCTGCCGCCTGGCCAGAGATGATCAGTGATCCTGGTACAGCGGAGTGACAGCTGCTGTTACAGGATAACCTGAGGGCGCCACAAATTACTGAAACAAAAAACCGCATTGCCACCTTTCCTCRTCTCAGGTGTACCCCTCCCCATTTTCAGGCGCTATGGAAGGGCAAGGCAAAGGGAGCCAGGAGCAGTGGGGCAGTGATGGAGAGGAGGCAAGTGCAAAGCAGTGCTGCTTATCCCTTCCCAGCTCTTGAAACACATGTGAGCTCTCTTTACAAGGGTAGCAGCAGCAGTAGCCAAAAGCCTGAACTTTGCTTCCAGAAGGAATCAGCTGTTGAGCTGAGCAAATTGTGATGCTGTGCAGGGTGGGTGGAAGAAGGGAGGGAGGGAGGGAAGAACAGAGAGAGGGAGGCAGAGCCAAGCCTGACACGGGCCAGAGCAGGAGGGGAGGCACTCACAAAGGCCTCGGAGGCAGGATGGAAAAGACAGTAATTACATAAGAGCACTTGGCGAGCATCTGGCTGCAGTCAGCTGGGCCCCGACAGCCCTCCCTCCCGCTCTGCTAACCAGGAGCAGCTGAGGATACGGATAACTCCGCGGGACCCTCCGCAGGGAAGCGGAGGTAAGAGGTGCTCCGCTTCTCCTCCCAGCTTGCCACGCTCTTGAAGAGTAGGGGCACAGGAGTGGAGAATAGAGGGAAGGAAAAATGGCTGAGGTAGAGGAGAAGCAGCAAGGAGGAGGAAAGGGAAGCAGAGAGGCTCTTTCTCTGCCTCTTGGTGCAAGGGATAGCTTTGCTCTGGAGGTTTTGGTGAGGGAGGACTGTGAAGGGCAAGTGTTTGTGTGTRGATGTGGGTATATGTGCAGCAACAGAGCAGACGATCCACACGTGCCACAGGGGAGCTGAGCTGTACCAAGGGGAGAAAATATCAATTTCCTTCCTCCATGCCTGTGGTAGAAAGGGGYAACAGGATGGATGCAGCCACTAAGTTAGAGACAGGCTTTGTMCCCCTACTTTGACAGTGTTGTGATGGTTACAGGAAAAGGGAGGAAACGGAGGAGGAGGAAGTAGCTGCTTTTGAGCAGGGATCATTGCAGTATTATCTGGACAATGCTTCCCTGGGCTGCCTCCAAGACAAAGTGTGTGATGAGGGAGAGGCAAGACTGCTGGGCACGCAAGGTGTCCTCAGGCTTGGACTATGCTTTAAAGCATGGCTGGCACAGGTTCACTAGATAGAATTCTCAAAATTAACTGCAAATGTGGCTGCTCTGGCAAAATACTGCTGTTCCCTTCAGTGAGCAGGGCAATATTACCCTTGCAAAAGTGTCTTTACTGGCATAAACTTCTGCCCAGCTGGGCAATGCCACCAGGGCGAGCCTTTGTTTGCTGGCTCCTGGCAGGTGCCCATTCAGCCCAGATAAGACATTGAATACAAAGTCCTGCTTGCTCCCCACTGTGAGCTGTTCTTGCAGTCAGATGAGACACAAGCAAAGGCCCCAGCTGATGAGATCCCCCATGAAGAACATCTGCTTGGCTGGGAGCAACTCAGGAGTGCAGATGRAAATGTGGGATGGAAATGAGGACAATAGCCTCCCTGCTACCTGTTTCCCTTGGAAAGGCGGAAGAGGCCAGGCATATGGCCAAGAACTGCAAAAGTGGGTAATGTCATGTTTGGAAATAAGGCAGGCAGAGAGGGACTTTGTCTTTCATGCCCCCCAGCAAATTTTTTTGCCTTTAATAGTACTGTCAGCTGCCAAAATTCCTGCCAGGAGTAGACAACACAACTGATCACAAAAACTCACTTCTGTCAGCTGGTGAGGCTCCATCAGCAAGAAGTATTGCCCTAACCTTCCCCCCTCTCATTTCCCAAAAGGGGAAACTGAGGCACGGGCAAATGTAGGCAACTTGCAGTGGATTTCATAGCACATCTGTGCTGGAGCCCRGGGAGGAGCTCAAGGACTCAGCAGTGAATTTCTCTGTTTTCTTCCTGYCCTGCTGGAAGGCATGTTCATTTCATGTTCATTGAGCTCCGGGCTGACAGGCAGCCTGAGAATATCTCCAGGCCTCCCAGCCCCCATTCCTCCCTTCCCCCCTAGCTCACAGCACATATTTTCCCAGAGTTTTCCGCTTGCTTCTCCAGTGGTTCTGGGGTCCTGCCAAACGCCAGCCACTCTCTGGGAAGCAGGGCCTCCCATTCCTAAACCAAACAAATGGGAGAAGGGAAACAGGAAAAAAATGTCCCAGAGTTTTCCGCTTGCTTCTCCAGTGGTTCTGGGGTCCTGCCAAACGCCAGCCACTCTCTGGGAAGCAGGGCCTCCCATTCCTAAACCAAACAAATGGGAGAAGGGAAACAGGAAAAAAATGTCCCAGCACACGTAGACWCTCTCAAAACCTTATTTCCCTCAGAAACCTTGGAGCTTTCTGCAGCTCCTCTTGGAAGTTTCAGGAGGCACAGTGCTGACTTGGCATTTCTGGCCCCTGCAGAAGAGAGCTATTGTCCATCCTTCCTTCTGCCTCCCAAAGATCCCTACATGCACACACACCCCTCACACAGCCAGGATGTAAAAGCCAGGTCAGTTTTGGTGCCGGATAGAATCTTCTAATCTTCATCCCCACAGAAGGGATTCTCTCATTCTGTAGTGAGAAAAAAGTCTCCTGTCTCTCCCACCCTACATTCTTCTACCCTCGAAAATGCTCTTCCTTCTGATGTTCCAGTGTGGTCACATCATGCTTACCCCAAAGGCAGCAAGCCTGGCGCCAAGCTGGGGACAATGGTCACAGCCAGGGTTTGTTTCCAGATCCCCAGTTCTGCTGGCAGGCAGCTCCCAGCAGCCAGGCTGTGCTTCAGGCCAGGCACGCCCCTCCCGTCCAAAATGCTCAGCCCTGGACCTAAGCAGGGGACATGACCAGGRGATGACACGTGCTGGAGCACAAGGCTTGGGGCTCTGCCCAGCTAGAGTGGATGACCAGAGAGGGAAAAAACTGATGCCTCTCCCAATTGGCAGCCGCTCCTGCTAGAAATATCATGCCTGGGGCAAGAGGCCACAGTGACGTGCAGAAAAAACAATGCAGGAGAGAATGAAAGATGAAGTTTGGGGACTATGAGTGGGTCAGGCACAGCTGGGGAGAGAGCATGGCCAAGTGAAGGACTTACTCATGGGACAAGGGGCTAGCGCAAAGGGCTGAGGGCAGAGTCCTGTAGCATCCTGCCTGAAGGAGCGACTGTCTCTTGCACCAATGAACCTTACCTTGTCCATCCTTGGATGTCCATCCATCCTTGTCCTGCCCTGCTGCTGTCCACCCTTTGCACAGGGTGCCATCCGTGCTGCCTGCACTTTGCTGAGCAGGGCTGCGCTGGTTGGAAGTGAAAAGGCAGAGAAAAAAGACAAACCGACAACATGCGCAGGGAAAAGGTACGTCCTAGGAAAGAGTTAAAAGACACTGAAACCCAAGCCGGTTTAGGATGGAGAGCACCCAAAGCCAGGGAGGGAGCCGGTCCAAGCCCAGCTCGCACACCCAGCCAGCGCCGAGCAGCGCCTGTGCCAAGAGCCGGCTTCCTTAAAGCCATGGGCCCGGGGGCTGGCCCTGCAGGCGGAGGGGAGCCGGCGAGCAGGGGCTGGGAAGCGAACAGGGGAGCCCTCGGCCCCCAGGGTGAGCAGCTGCGCTGTGCCGGGGGGCAGGCAGCGGGATGGGGGCACAGGCTGCGAGAGGGGCTTTCTCAGCTGCTTGGCGTGCCTGTCTTTCGTAAGCATACTTCTCTGCAAGCCGCAGAGCTTCACGTCCTTCGCCTTCGGCAGCGGAGCAGCTCCCCTCTGGTGTGCCCGCAAAGGCTGCGCTGGGGAGCCTGCCGTCCCCTTGGGAAGGTGCTGGGGGCTGCCTGAGAACCCACGGGGCATCGGGGAGGGGCTGAGCCACCGGCATGGCTGGGGTTTGGTGGGGGAAAGGAGGGGGCTGAAGGGGAGGAGAAAGAGGCCTCTCTGCCAAGAGAGGTGGGTCAGTCTCCATGTGGGGCATGGGGATTTTTGGGTTAGGTTCCTGTGAAGAGTTGGTATGCAGTGATTTTAGGGCTGAAAATTTTTTTTACAGAGCATTCCACAGATTGAGCAGCCTACCAGAGCATACTTTTGCTAAAGAACTGTTGAGGTTGGACTTATTGATCCTAGAGGTCTTTTTCAACCTCAGCAGTTCTGTGATTCTCTCTCCTTCCTCTATCCCAGCCTGGGGAGTGAATATCCTTGCGTCTTCAATGGTTGGCCTAGTCAGCATCGAGCCTTATTCCAGGGTCAGCACCAAGTCATCACTGGCCTGGGCAGAAGGGTGTGGGACATCCTCTTGTGCCATGTGGTTGCTGCTCCGATTGCAGATTTGAACATCCAGGGAATAGGACCGTGTAACCTCCCTCCAGGACAATGCCATCTCATCCCACCCCCAGCTCCAGACACAGAAAGATGTTTTGTCATGATCTCTGCTCCATCCCTCGTGTCCTCCCCCTTCTTATACCTCACTCTGGCACTTCCTCATATCTTCCCAGGTCACCATGGACATAATCTACCTGCGCACATCCCTGACCTTCCTTTTTCTCCCTCTTGTTGTGTTTGGGGCACCGGCTGATGAACCCAACCTCACACAACCAGGCCCTGGTGCTTGCAAGCGCTGTTGTGACTCACTGGACTCTTCCACAGACACCCCACCAGTCCCTCCCAGCCATCACCACTTTCCTTATCCAGTGCCAGAGGTCCGTCCCTATATCAACATCACCATTCTGAAGGGTAAGTCTTTGCCCTGCGATGCCAAGGGACTGATGGCATTGCAGGGGAGGTGACAGCGGGATTGCTGGCATGCTGGTTGTGCTAACAAGCAGCCAGGTGCCATCCTGGGGGATAAGTGGCCACACACACTGTGCCCAGGGCTTAGGCGTTTTGTGCTGTGAAGAGGAGCAGCCTGGGGGGATGGAGGTCAGTATGTATCCCTGCTGGGACCTCTGTGTCTCAGTATGCTGCCTGCTACCAGCTCTTCCTCCCTGCTAACACGGGAGTGGCAGTGACAGCCTCTTGCCCAGCTGGGAGGATGCATTCCTTGCCTCAGACTTACAGAGTCCTGTAGTGCCTGAGGGAAGGAATGCTCCTTATCAACTGCAAAAGAAGCATGTTTGGAGGGCATTGGCACCCAGGGAGTTTGGGGGAAACCTCCAGCTCTGTGGGTCMCATGTGTTTTGGAGCAGGAGGAGGGCAGAGGGAAGCAGCAGTTATTTGCAAGCACCTCCAGGCTAAACTGGCAGTGACCCCCAGCTCATTCCATCCTCCTATGGCTGGCTTGGCTAACGGGAAAAGGCTCCCTATTTTAGATCAGCTCCTCCCTTCAGGGCTCCCCTTTTAGCCTTTGCTGCAGGCAAAAGCCTGTTCCCAGCTGGATGCTGCCACTTGCTTCTTGTAGCTCTGTGGTTTCTCTGGGTTAATTGGGCAATGCTCTCCCTTCCCTGCCCTGCCTGCAAGTAGCTGCAATCCATCAAAGCTCAGGAGGGTGTCTAGGGCCGGTAGGGGCCTAGACTAGAGAGGGTGTTTTAGGGAGACCTACAATATCATGGAGAGAAGGGAAAGAACAAGACATGAATTTTGAATGCTGTCACTTTGTGCTGGAGGCTGCTCTGAGCACCATTTCTTCTCTCTATACACGAAATACATTCTGGTGCTGGTCTCTCTCTGTACTGATGCCTGCACAAGTGTGAGATGGGCAACACACACATGCCATGGTAGAGCTGCAGTACTAATTACACAGGATCCCCAAAGCATGCCAGTACTGCCAAAGTACCATCCCTCTAACTTGCCCTGCTCCATCTGCTAAGTCCAGCTTGGATCTTTTCCCTCTGACCCACCCCACTGTTCCACCCTAATCATATTCCCCTGCAGGTTAGCAGTTGTTCCCCTTCTCCAGCCTACAGCAAGAGCAGTGCACATCCTGTGTGGATAATTGGATCRTAGCAGAGGTGTGCAGATGGGCAGGGCTGTGCTGGAGGTAAAGGAGTGTGGAAGAAGAAGAGGCCAAGAGACCCAGTGATACTTTTTACTTCTGGGCTCCCTCTGAGGCTGAAGTCTCCTAGGGACAGGTCCTGGTGCCTCCAGCAGAGCCATATCACTTGGTGAGCAGGGGATTCATGGTCTCCAGTCACTCCCAGACCTCTGCTAGCTCCTTTGCTRTGAAGAGCAATAGTGTGACCCTCAGAAGTGTTCCCTTTTCTGGCATTGCCCTATTCTTGTGCAATCCTCTGTCTCCTCATTAGGCTTTCTCACTACACTTCCACATCTTCTGGTATCACACGGGAGTTGTGTCCTCTGTTTTCTCCTGTAGGAGAGAAAGGAGACCGGGGAGAGCCTGGGATGCCAGGGAAATGGGGCAAAGAAGGACCACGAGGCGAGCGGGGCGTCCAGGGCCAGAAAGGCAGCAAAGGACAGATGGGCAYAGCGGGAGATCCCTGCAAACATCAGTACGCCGCGTTCTCTGTCGGTCGCAAGAAAGCGCTGCACAGCAGCGAGGGCTTCCAGGTGTTGATCTTTGACACCGTCTTCGTCAACCTCTACAGCCACTTCGACATGTTCAATGGCAAATTCTACTGCTCAGTGGGCGGGCTTTACTATCTCAGCCTCAACGTCCACACCTGGAACTTCAAGGAGACCTACATGCACATCATGCACAACGAAGAAGCAGCGGTCATCCTGTAYGCCCAGCCCAGCGACCGCAGCATCATGCAGAGCCAGAGCCTCATGCTGGAKCTTCAGGAGAATGATGAGATCTGGGTGAGGCTCTACAAGCGGGAGAGGGAGAATGCCATTTACAGTGATGATGTTGATGTGTACATCACCTTCAGTGGGTACTTGGTCAAGCCCAGCATTGAATAACTTCCTTTCCTCTTCCTTTGAGCCTCTTAGGCCTTTTCCTTTTTTTATTTTTTTCTCTTCTCTCTCTCTTTATTGCCCATAACCACTGCAAATCACTTGGAAATGGGCYTGTGAAATCTCAGGCACTGAGTGTGAAACTTGCCACACTGGCTCCCACCTCACGCTCTCTTGTAGCCAGACCTGTATCTGTCCACTTACATCGCGACCCTGCCACCTCTTGCCCCTCACCTCATAATCCCAATTTAGATTATTGGCTTCTTCTCAATCTGCCAGCAAGCTGCCTCTGGCATTTAGAGTTCTAGAGCAAGAGGAAAGCTCAAATGCTGCTCCTGGGCCTGTGTCCCTCCTTGGGGCTTCATACACAAAGGACTCCTGTGGAAAGGGCTGGAAAGTCCCCACTACTGAGGTGCATCCTGGCTCCTCTCCATCCCACCCACACATACCAGTTTTGCAGCCTGAAACATGGTCTTAGTGTCACCTCTGACACCTCTAGTCCAGAGAGTGGACTGGGGTCTGATGGTCTTCTGCAGCACAGGGAAGATGTAGGAGCACTGACAGAGGGTATTATCTTTCCAAAAAGGGAACTTTTTTCCTAAACATTTTTCCTAAAATGTACCACTGGCTTTACTTTGGCATCTTTCTGTGTCACAGAGTCCAGGTTAGCTGTCAAAGCTAGACCTGGTGGCATTGTGCTCCTCAGTGCCAGCTCTAGCTCTAGCTCTTCAAGGAGATGAAGGGCCAGACCCTTAATGGGCATCTGCCATCGGTTCAGTAGGGGCCACCATTCTGTTTCCACTAGGGATCACCAGTACAGAGCATGAGAGAGAGATCACCCTTGCAAACCTCCCTCCCACACCCCCCCTGGGGTACTACTCAGTCTTGGCTCCTCAGTCTTGGCTCCTCAGAGAGAGAACCCAAATCTGCTGTCTTTTGGCAGAGGTGCCATTTCATTGTCCTCCTGAAGGTGGATCTCCCACACTGGTATTGAAGGACCGCTGTTTCAGGGCCTGAGCTGAAGGTGGTGGGGCAATTGCAGTTAAATCAGCTCCAAACCTGCCACTTCTTTGCCTCTGTGATGGAAAAGAGATAGAGGTGAGACTGCAGCACCTTGCCCAAGGGTTAAAAGCTTCCCCACTRTGTGGTCTGTGCCCTTTTCTGGCAAGCTCATCAGAGTAACTGAGAAAAGCATTGGCTAAAACAAACCCCTGCTCTTTTTGTCAGGTTGAAGATGTTGCAGTGAGAAAGGAATGCCAGTGGTAGGGTTTTCTAGTACTATTTATGTTGGTCTCACGCTGCTCCCACTTGCATCCCTCTGGAGGGGATGCTACAGTCCTGGGGGAWGCAGGTGAGGCTGGCTCAGCACTTTAGGAAACCTATTTCCACATGCTGTGATGCTCCCATGTAGAGCAGTACCAAGAGTTGTCTCCTTTTTGAGTCTCAGGGCAGGACAAGCAGGAGACACACAGGTATTTCTCCTCTGCTCATCAGTGAACATGCCATCCTCTGACTTAGCCAGGTTCTGCACTCTCGTGGTTAGTCATGGGCTCTGCCTGTGGCACCTGGTGCTGCCAGGGCTCTCCCATAAGAAGTGTGAATTGTTATACAGATTAAGTCTGGTACACACAGCCCAGAATGGCAAAGGAGCAGGGACCAAGGCTAATATTAAAAATGACCTTGAGAAAATTTTAGGGGATTTTGTCTCTTATCCGGTYTGCTTACCCTCCATGCTTTTCTAAGGAAGCTGTACAGACTGTAGTGGTTTTCAGGAACTTTGTTCTGCATCCTCCCCACCACTGTCAATGAGGCAATGAGCATAAAAACAAGATTTCACTGAGGCAAGGCTGGTTTTTTTCTCACAGGGAAACATATGATGAAGGGATCATGTGAGATCAAAGGAGACTGTGAGTTTCTTCCTCCCTCTTAGCAGGTCAAGTGTGTGGAGTTACTCAGAGATAGGATTTCATATTGCAGAGGAAGCAGCAAGCTGGAGGTGATGCTCAGGACCGAATCCCTTTCTCTCTTCCTCAACAGGCTGCAAACCCAGATATAATCTATGTACAGGGTGTAGTGCCCCAGGCCTCCCTGAAGAGAAGCAACCCTCTTTAACACTGAATATCATCTCCATAAACAAGCTTCCTTCTTCCTCCTTTCCTATTTGGTGATTGAATGCTGGTGACAGGTTTCCTTTGCTATCCATGAGCAGCCAGAGGGTGCCTGATGCACATGAGAGAGGAGGGCAGGGGGACCAATGGGTGTGTTTAACAGGCTTCTGGTGCTAAACAAGATGACATTCCCTTGGTGCTAAATCAGATTTCAGGAGTATTGGGTGCTTTCTGGAAGGTGTACTAGGTTGAGTTGTGATGTTTTCTGGAATTAATGGTGCTTTATGTAACTAAACCAAACAAACTCAGAGAACTTCTGTATATACATATTTTTTCAGTGGTATTAAACTTTTTTCCTTGGTTGTTTTGCACTTAAATCTGTTTTTGTCTCCCAACCTATTCCATCTAGCTCTGGTTATTGCTGAATGGTGTGGTGAAAAAGACACTGACCTGAAAAAGACAGGTACAAAGTCTAACTCAGCTCTGAAACTTCCCTGGGTAATCTTTGGCAATCTTGTGWCTGTTTCCTTTGTGAAGAACTATTTCCTTAAAGTATTTGCTGCTTGAACACTTCTAATTAGCCTTTTCTTTTTGCTGGAAAAGCTTCCAGCAAATTCAAAGAAGGATTCTTTGGAAATTACAAAAACGAATTCCAGGACAGTACAGTGGGTTGTAGGAATAGGCTTCAAGTACTTAATTATATTGAGGAAGGCTGGGTTRGTGTTGGAGTTCTCTTAAGGGAGATCAGATCCTTTATCCTATGAAATTTTTAGCTCATTCTTCTATCAAGTACTTGGTAAGTATGAGTGTTTTCCGTTTTCCCTGTGACATTTCTGTTTTCTCTGCCAAGAGCTGAAGGCCAGGAAGTACAGAGTGGGAGGGATAGTAAACTGTTGATTGGGCACTTGTGCTTCCTAACATTGGAATGAGTGGGAGTTGCAGAGTTAAGCTGGACACACATGTTTGTAAGACCTGTGTGTGATGAGAAAGGCCTGAGATTCAGGTCAGAGGTGGCAAGACAAGTGGCAATTGCCCATAAAGTTGGGGGGAAAGGGAAGACATGAGTGGAGGGTGGAGACCTGTAAGCTTGAGTGAAAGATCTAGAAGGAGTAGAATCCAAAAGACATGGAAATTACTTTTGGAGGTCTCAGTCCAAGCCAAAGTGGGGTTTTGTTTATTATCTTTGGGCTGAGGAGACTCCTGCTGAGGTAGAAGGACAGACAAAACATCAAGACGAGGTGCCCATATAGGACATTCTGTTTTGAGTTTCATTTGCCTTCACATAGTTTCTCCTGTGGTTTGACATGTACCAGGCACTTYATTTGGCAAGGGGTGGAATACACAATCATACACATCCCTGCAGGCCTCTCTGGTCCTTTGTCAGGCTCAGAGCAAGGGCTATMTATATCCCAGCAAATGCAATACTCTCTCAGGTCAGAGCCCAGCCTTCTTCCCATTTTCTATTTACTTCTGAGGAAGCAGATAGAAATGTGTCCTCAGGAAGTTCAGTGGTTGTTTGCGCATGTTCCTTGAGGTGAGATGATGGCAGATTGGAAGTAACTTTGTCATACGTACAAAAGGTGAGGGAAGGAGGGAGGGAGGAGGGGGACCGGAAATGTGTGGCCACATCTTCAAGAAAATGATTTGACATTTCAGCCTGCCACCTGAAGAGTGTCTCCAGCCAAATCCYGAGGGCTAGGATGCATGGTGACAGGCAGGATCTGCAGCTGGTACCACCCATCACACCATGGACACCCAACCAGGGAGTTGCTGTAGGTGGGGCTCAGCTCAGGCAAGGTGGACCCTGCAGTGCTTGGAAGGAACAAGGTCTAGCCTGGGTCAGATAAGCCCTGCTGCCCTGCCAATGAGGGCACTCATGCCCTGAAGGCCATGAGACATTAATTAATTAGTTAATCCATTCATTCATTCATTCATTCATTCATTCATTCATTCATTCATTCATTCACCCAGGTCTGTTCTTTTCCATGAAATGGAGCTGCCCTGTGAAATGTGATTCAGGGGTTGGTTCAGCCAGTATCTCTCTCTCCTGGGCAAAGCAAGTGTGTCCTGGGGTGTGCAGCCACAAGACTTCTGCAGCTGTGTCTTCCTTTTCCCCTAAAGAGTGATCCAAGCTCTGCTGCAAAGGGCTCTGTGGACACGTCTCAAGCTTGTTGAGACAAGCTGCCATTTAAACTGCCTTCCTGCAGGTTTGTGGTCTTGCAGGTATGAAAGGAAGGGAGTGAGAGAGAGGACATGAAGGGCAGGATATGGTGCTGTCTCTGGGACAGAATGCACATGCCAGGGACAATTCAGGAGTAGCTGGAGGCCCTGCAACAGCTCCTTGCCCTGTCAGAGTTGTGGGAAAGGGGAAGAGAGAAGCAGKGCAAGAAAAGGAATATACAAGGAGACCTTTGACCCTTCTGGRGGCACTCAGGTGGGCATAGATGGATGTGCCTGCACCCAAAGCACCAGGGAGAGCAGGGACACAACACAGCAGGACCTAGCTCCATATCCCTTCAGAGCCTTTGTCACAGCAGGGGCAGTCACAGGGAGTGTCTCTGGCCTTGCCCAAGCTGCCAGCTCTGGTGCAAGATCTGCCCCACATCCGTGCACAGTTCAGGGGCTGTCACACTGTACTATAGCAGGTTTCCCCTCTGCTGCAGCCTGCGGTCCCTCCTCCTTTCCCAACCCCCCCAGACAACCTGTTTCACTCACACCTCAGCCTTGTGTACCTCCCAGAGTCCGGAGAGGGAGAGGGGAAATGCAACACTGCAGCCAGAATTGCCCAGTGCCGCAGAGCTACCACTTCCCTCCATCTAGCACATTGCAGCCAGACACCAGCAGTGGATTCAGCCTGCCCAAATATCCTTTCTCTCAGCTTCCCTTTCCCATTGCTGGAAAAGGAGATGCTATAGGGTTTGAAGAGCTGGATGTGGACCCTGCTCATGGCTATGTGAATGGTGGGGCACAGCTGCCTTTGAGGGTAATTGTTCCAATCATGTGGCGTGGCCCTTCTCTGACCACAGTGGCAAAGCAGGCACTTGCCCAGCCACACCATGCTTGAGAGGCCAGTTTGGTGCACACTCTGCTGTGACACCCACACATGAACACACACACATGTTCCAGCCTCATATGGACATCTCTCACCTTCTTGCCAACGGAAACTGTTGCCCTTTGCAAGCCTGGCCCACTCTGAAGATGCTATCAGGAGGTGAGCAGAGYGGGGCTGAGGCTCCAGGGCCCTTTGGGCACTGCTCCCTCGTCTAATGGCATGCCTTCTCCTTCACCCACGAGCTCTCTGTGATCTCCCACCTTGCAGTTATACCACAGTGAGGGCCAGCGCGGACGGTTTAAATCAAAGGCTTCTGACAGTTTCTCATTCCACAGACCATTCAGTCTCTTAAGTGTCACCTAACTCACAAATGACCCAGAAATTTTTGCAAAACTTCATGCTTTTCCCAGTCTCTGTTTATAGCAGAAGGGAGGGAGCGGGATGTAAAGCTCTTGGCTTGGAGAAACTAAGGAGCAGGGAACTCCCCATCTACCTGGTGAGGTTGTAAATAGAGCCCTGAGTGAGTGGGAGGCAGGAGGCTGATCTGGTTCTTCATTCATTTGAAGGTGCTTGCACCCATGGCAGTGTGGGTGAGGATGGAGAGGCACAGAGGTGCCTCCACTGCCAGTGGGGTGAGCTGCAGCGCACCTCTGAGGGGGCAGATGTGCCCAAGCCTCACCAGGAGGCCACTACTGACGACAGATGCAACGCTTCCAAGTAGCCAGAGGAAGAAAAGGTCMTGGAGAAGGAGGAGGACAACAGGTCTCCTGTCTGATTGAACCCCAACCTGCAGGCATCATTTTCACTGTTCTGACCTCCTGCTCTGATGCCTTGGCTGCCTTCTAGGTGTTTGACCCAGCAATGCTCCAGAGCAAACATCTTCCATGGGTGCCTGACTGTCACTGCATTCTGTTTGCCCTGCACAAACTTTTCTGGGCTTATGGCATTCTCACATTCACCCCTAGAGACACTTTTATTTCCTCCTCACATTCTTCCCCTGAAACAGTGGGATGGGCATATGACTAGAAAGGACATGCCAGGTAACGAAGCCCTGTCACCTGCATCCACAGTGATTCAGCAGCTCTTTAGGGCCAAGGGTCCACAGGATTACCACTCCACACACAATCCAAAACACCTCCCCAGCCCTTGCTTTGCCCCAACTCCCACTTTTCTATTGTTGTGTAGCTGGTAGCATTTTTGTAATCTTAAGAGAATTATGTAGGCTTTTATAGCTATATTACATGATTTTTTTTTTATTTTTTTAATTCTATTTGTTTATTACATGGCAGATACTGAAGCACTCCCCTGACCCTCAGACAGGCTTGCTTATCCTCTCTCATCCCCAGTCCTGCCAGCTGTGGAGGCAGAACAGCTGTGCCTTCAGTTCAGTGGCTACACCAGGCAGGGACAGGGGTGGATTGGCTTAGTCCACGACTCTCTTGTTCTGCAGAATGACAACCTGAGCCTGGAGAAAATGGACAGAGGATGAATGCAGAGCCTTCCTTTTGCTGCAGGTCTTTTTTTTTCASTCCTCCTTCACGTTCCTGTGCCAGTCCTCCTCACCATTTCAAAGCATCGCACAGAGAACTCTGGGAGTGCGAAGTGCAGGGGGAGCAGTGGGAGGGAGGGTCGGGTGAGGACTGAGACGGGCGAGAGGAAAAGGTCAGTGACGCAAGCCCGAAGCGATGGCTCTCAGCTGAGCTGCTCGSCTGTTTGTCCGTGGGGCGCGCTGTTTCTACTCGGCAGCAATTCGCACATCTGGGGACCACAACGCCTTCCACCGCCCACGCTCTTCCCTCCCCCACCACGGGGGCTGAGGCAGGGAGGGGATAGCAGAGAGAGATACTGCACCAGCCTGCCAGCATCATTTCCAAGACCAAAAGGAAAAAAGCCCTGAGCAGTCCTTTTTAT